AGGCATACAAATGGTTAAAAGCACATAAAAAAAATTCAACATTTCTTATCAAGAAATGCAAACCAAAACTGCAAGGAATCACCTACACCCCCGCTCAGAATGACTATGATGAAAACAAACAGAAAACAAAAACAAAAGACAAGAGCTAATGAGGTTGTGGAGAAAAGGAAACCCTCCTGCACTCCTGATAGGAATATAAATTAGTATGGCCACTATAGAAAACAATGTGGAGGTTCCTCAAAAATTTATCATAGAGGGGCCGGCAAATGGCATAATGGTCAAAGTACTGGATTCCCACATGGCCAACTTCGGCTCAAGTCCCACGCCTGGTAGCTTGTCTTCTCACTTTTCCTCTCACTGTCTCCCCTCTATTTCACTCTGATCAAATTAAAAAATAATGACAAAATTAAATAAAATAATTATTTTTAAATAAAATTACCATATGACCCAGTAGTCCCACTCTTGAGTAAATACCCAAGGACAGGAAATCATCCTGTCAGAGAGACATTTTCACATCCATTTGTTTTCTTTTTTGAGAGATTTTTGTTATAGGGTGTGTGCGCTCACTGGAGAGACAGAGAGAAACAGACAGAAAGTGAGAAATCACCCCCCAGGAGGATGGCCACACTGCAACGCTTCTTCATTCTCCTCTTGGGAGTTTGGGCATGTACCCACACACGCCCAGTGTGAGTTTTAAGCTGCTGGGTCTAGGACTCGAACCGTGGTTAACTACCTGGGAGTCCATTAGGCCATCTGCTGGTTCTTCACATCCATGTTTATTGCAGTATTATTCACAAGAGCATGAACATGGAGTCAATCTAAGTACCAAACAACTAATTACTTGATTAAGAAAATGTCCTGGGGCCATCAGGTTGTGTGGCGATTAAAGTTGCTGGACTCCCACATGGCCAACCACAGTTTGAGTCCTGAACCTGGTGGCTTGCTTTCTCACTTTCCTTCTCTATCTCCGTCTCTCTCTCACTGTATCCCTCTCTGGTCAAATTTAGATAAATAAATAAAGTTAAATAAAATAATTCTTTTTAAAAAAGTACCACATATACACAATGGAATGCTACTCAGCCAAAAAGATCAATGAGATCCTGTCATTTGTCACAAAATGGACAATTCTAGAAGATATAAGGCTAAGTAAAATTAACCAAGCCATGAAGGACAAGCACTGTATGTCTCCACTTAACACACACTGAATGTTCACACCGTAAGTCTCCACGTAACACACGCTGAATGTTCACACTGTATGTCTCCACGTAACACATGCTGAATGTTCACACCGTATGTCTCCACTTAACACACGCTGAATATTCACACCGTATGTCTCCACTTAACACACACTGAATGTTCACACCGTAAGTCTCCACGTAACACACGCTGAATGTTCACACTGTATGTCTCCACGTAACACATGCTGAATGTTCACACCGTATGTCTCCACTTAACACACGCTGAATATTCACACCGTATGTCTCCACTTAACACACACTGAATGTTCACACCGTAAGTCTCCACGTAACACACGCTGAATGTTCACACTGTATGTCTCCACGTAACACATGCTGAATGTTCACACCGTATGTCTCCACTTAACACACGCTGAATATTCACACCGTATGTCTCCACTTAACACACACTGAAGTTCACACTGTATGTCTCCACTCAACACACACTGAATGTTCACACTGTATGGCGGAAATGGAAAGACTGAGGGTGGATCATGGCATCAAGGCCCTATTGGAAGTGCTCTCGCTCTTTCTCTCAGAAGAGATAAAAGTACAATAAAAACCTGGTGGAGTGGGGCCCACCTGAGATCTCAGATACTCAGGAGGCTGAGACAGAACAATCACAACATAGTGAGACCCTTTCTAAAAATTAAATAAAAATAAATGGATAAGACACTGATAAAGAGGAACGTGAAACCAAAGGAGTTTTCATAACAATAATAATAATAAGAAGAAGATTCCTAACCCCAAGGAGGTAATCATTCATTTGAAAAATTATATTAACTCCAACCATTTCAGTGTCATCACAGAACTAAGGCCAGTAAGCCATCTCCTGAGAATAAGCTTTGTGCTAAGAGCTGTTAGTGGAGCTAAGCTACATTTGGCCGTGTGCACTGCCATCTAGTGGAAATGGATTGACATAACTAGTGCCTCGTTTATATGAGTGGATTTCAAAAGTTTGTGGAAATAAGAAATCAAAGTACAAGTCTACTTTGAAGCAAAACTGTTTTTTTGTTGTTGAGAGGTTTTTGCTATAGGGCACGTGGGCTTGCCAGAAAGACAGAGAGACAGAAAGTGAGAAATCCCCCCCCCCCCCCGGGAGGATGGCCACGCCACAATCCCTTCTCCTCCATTCTCCTCTTGAAATCTTGGGCATGCATGCACACGTGCCTGGCGTAAGTTTAAGCCACCGGGTCCGGGACTCGAACCGTAGTCGACTACATGGGAGTCCAGCGACATAACCATTACGCTAACTGCTAGTCCCATGACTTCCTCATTTAAACTGCTAGTGAACAGATTGCTCCCACACCCATGGGGTGACTAGTAACTGCTGGTGTCGTTTCACTGTTCATGCAAGTTCAGCGTGCTCCCAGTCAGACCTTACACAGGAAGGTAACCTGTTATTATGTCCATGTTGCTCCAAATCCTGAGAACACTGGTTCCTAAAGTGTTCAGGATTTATACGAAGAGTAGAGGACAGTGACACAGACGAGGAGGTAATGTGCAGACAGAGGCAGACAGAGGAGTACCCTGTCCACTGGGCAGTGTTCTAGACAGCTAACACGTACGTTCCTGAAGGGTCCTCGGGGACAGAACCCGAACTGAAACTCTAATTCTAGCTCTAACCCTAGCCCGAACCCTAACCCCAACCCTAACCCAGACATAGACTGAGCCATGGCCCCCCTTGTCTAACCTTATTCAAAACTTAGCCCTAACTCCAAACCTAGCCCTGACCCTAGTCCTAACCATAGTTCTAACTGTAATAACGCCCCAAAACGTAACTTCAGTGAGTTGGACTAATTTTTTCTATTGGGCAAACAGTATCACTAGCATATAAGTACCTCTGATGTTCGTGTGCCACCGTACTCGCCACACAGTGCCCCAGAGAAGGACCTAATTGATCCTCATCTCTGTGTTCAGGCCTGTCTCTGTCAAACTCTAGGACCTCCGGTGTGACACACAAAACCAGACCCAGAACCAGCCGGGTGATGTGGTGGTTAAGGTGCTGGATCCCATATGGCCAATTGTGTGGTTTGAGTCCCAGATCTGGCAGTTGAAAAACATGTCAGCCGTGTGTGCATGCATACCCCAAATCCTGAGAGGGTGAGTGAAGGAGAAGGGATTGCAGCATGGTTAGACTGGCGGTGGTGGTGGGGGCTGCTTTCTCACTTACCCTTCCTCTCTCTCTCTCTCTGGTGAGGACATACGTTTTACAACAAATTAAAAGGGGGAGCAGCAGATGGTGATCCCACAGAGTCATTCTAGGCACATTTGTATGCCCAAAACCCCAAGGGGAGATTGAAGGAGAAAGGACTGCTGCATGGCCATCTTCCTAGTGGGTGATTTCTCCCCTTCCTTGTCTCTCTCCCACTATCCATGCACGGCAATTCTCTGCCTCTGTTTCCTCGTCAAAATATCTTTCCCTGCAAAGCTTCACTTTCCCTCTAATTAATCTCTAGACACTTGTGTGCAGACCCATATGCATATATGCACACATCAAGGTCCTTCAAGATCAGCTCCAATACTGCCTTCTCCAGAAAGTTTTATCTTTTGGGGACCAGCAGATGGCATAATGGTTACATTGCTGGACTCCCATATAATCGACCACGGTTCAAGTCCTGGACCTAGTGGCTTAAAACTTACACCGGGTATGTATGTACATGTGCCCAAAATACCAAGAGGAGAATGGAGGAGAAGGGATTGGCCATTCCCCTGGGGGCTGAATTCTTGTTTTCTGTCTCTCTGTTTCTCTAGCGAGCACACATGCCCTATAGCAAATGTCTCTCCAGAAAAAAATAAGTCTTGCCTTTGGGTTGAGCTCACCTTTCTACAGTCTCTACCTTCAAACAACTCTATCATAGTACTGACACAACCAGCCTTCATTGTTTTTTTTGTGTGTTTGTTTTTGTTTTTTTGAGAAAGACTTTTGCTATAAGAGTGCGTGCGCTCACCAAAAAGAGACAGAGAGACAGAAAGCAAGAAATCACCCACTGGGGGTATGGCCACACCACAGTCCCTTCTCTTCCAATCTCCTCCTGGGACCTTGGTCACACATGCAGACACACCCAGCATGATTTTGAAGCCACCAGGTCCAGGGCTCGAACTGTGGTCGGCCGTGTGGGAGTCCAGCAACATCACCACTATGCCATCTGCTGGTCCCACACCCCTGTACTTGTACATCCACTTACTATGTCCTGAGCTCACCTCTTCAATGGCCATTTCCACAGCCAGGAATTTGCCCTTGCATTTAGGTTACAGCTGAAGAAATCGATGGCAGTGATGCCTAATTTTTTCAGCTAAATGTGATGGAAGCCTTATTTGAAATAAAAGGGATCTTTTGTGATCCTCAGAAATCACACTCTGACTACAGTGTTTTCTTTTATTCCTTGCAATATTTGCTGAAAATGTTCTGTAGTTTAGTTAGGTGCTAAAATGATCTAGTTGTGATATATAAAATAGTCCCTTATTTTTGTCATTTAATCGATAGTGGGCATAAAATAATTGTACAGAAAAGTTCGGCGTGCTCTCCGAGGGCAGAATGCTTATCAATAGTGCACAGGAAATAGAGCCCTGCTCAAATCCCAACCAATTCGTTCTTTCACCAAAGGACATGGAAAAAAAAAACAAAAAAACCCAAACACAACTTTTTCTTTCTCTTAATAGGGTAGAGAACAAAAGGGACAAAATGAAGCTTTGAAATGAAAACACAGAGCACCCAACCTACAGAACACTGAGCGAGCAGACTAAGCAGTGCTACCTGCGAGGAGAAGAACCTGGCAGGGGAGATACCAGGCTCACGAAGGTGGTTTTCCCGGGATGAGGCTGGCCCATCGCACTCCAGATGTGCCGATTCCTGCCATTTCCCCAAATGTGGGAAACTCAACCGCATCGTTTGTGGTAGTGGGGGACTGTGTTCGTATTCTCCTGTGTTTAAAAAAAAAGAACTACGTACCTCCAAGCACAAAGTACCTTACCCAAAACAGATAAACATTATATTTAAAGGCAACTTCGGGGTTGGCAGGTGGCATGGTGGTTAAGGTGCTGGACTCCCACATGGCCGACTCTGGTTCAAGGCTGGGTAGCTTGCTTTCTCCCTTTCTCTCTCTCTGTCTGCCTGTATCTGGTGAGCAGGTGTGCCCTGTAGTAAATTAAAAATATTAATAAATAAAATAATTAAAAAAATAAAGGCAACTTCATGCAAGTGGGTCAGCAAAGGCTAAAAGATTTCAAATAGTAACACATCCCCGATCCAAAGAAGCAAGGTCCTAACGGACAGCTGCAGCTCAAGAAGAGCTTGGCACACACAGGGCAGGGTGGGGTACCTGGAGCAGATCCCAGCCAGCACGCAGACCAGCGAGGAAGAGCCAGAAATGACAACCATAGTGCACCTAGGTTATGGCACAGCCTTGGGAGCTGCATACACAGAGCTCTCGCTTCCGGAGTGGATTTAGTTCATCTTTGCCAGCTTCTTAAAATCTCCAACTGGGGCTGGCAGATGGCATAGTAATTAAGGTGCTGGACTCCCATGTGGTCAGCCGTGGTTTGAGTCCCGAACCCGGCGGCTTGAAGCTCACACCAGGCGTGTGTGCCTGTGTGCCCCAAATTCCAAGAGAACAGAGAAGAAGGGATTATGATGTGGCTGCCCCCTGGGGGGTGAATTCTCGCTGTCTCTCTGTCTCTTTCTATCTCTTTGGCACGTGCAGGCACCTATAGCAAAAATCTCTGGGAAAAAAATCCATCTCAAACTAACAATCTCTAGGGCTGGCAGGTGGTGTGGTGGTTAAAGGAGCTGGACTCCCACATGGCCGACTCTGGTTCAAGACCTGGTGGCTTCCCTTCTCACTTTCCCTCTCTCCCTCTGTCTCTCTCTGGTCAAATTGGAAAATAATAATAATAATAAATAAAGTTAAATAAATTTAAAAAAAGGGAACCAGCAGTTAGCGTAATGGCTATGTCGCTGGACTCCCACATAGTTGACCGCTGTTCACGTCCCGGACCCGGTGGCTTAAAACTCACGCCGGGCGCGTGTGCGTGCGTGCCCAAGATGGAGGAGAAGGGATTGCGGCGTGACCATCCCCCCTGGGGGGGTGATTTCTCGCTTTCTGTCTCTCTATGTCTCTGTCTGTCTGGCGAGCGCACGCTCACTATAGCAAAAACCTCTCAAAAAAAAAAAAAAAAAAAACAAAACTAAAAATCTCTTCTGTTGACTGATGTACGTAAAATTCAGAGTGGACAAAATTACAGTTGTTCAGAAAACCTATTTCATCCAGATGGTGACATGGTACATCTCTCTAGAACATTCCCTGGCTGGGTGGGAGAATTGTGACCCCATGAGAAAGTCATCTGGCTGTTAAATTTGTCGCCTTCAACCTCAGTGAGATTATGACATCAGATATAAAGGGCCAGTGTCCCCTCCCCTCCCCCCCTCCCCTCTCCTCCTCTCCCCTCCTTCCCTCTTCCACCTTTCTGCTGTCTTTTCTCACTTCTTTCTCAAGTGACAGTCGCTGTGCTGAGGCTGTAAAGCTAAATACGTCTCGCTCCTTTCCTTCCAGAAGCATAGCTTACACAGGGGCAGACAAATACACCACGGTGAGGAAGCCGCAGCAGTGCTGACCTGGCCGAAAGGTAGACTGAGACATCATAAAGAAGGGAGTGGTGAGCTCTGAGGGCTTGGCGGCCTTAGGGAAACCTTGTCAGCTCGTGCTGGGTTGAAATGTATTTAAAGCGCAACTGTAGAGAAGTTCTTTTATCTCCTGGAAGTTAGCAGTGTTAATTATTTCGGCAAGCTTGTTGAATAAACTGTACTCAGAAAAGGCGCTCAATTTGTGGCGGTGGACTAGTGCTCTCGGAATCAAGCCTTGGCCCCAACCAAACTGTGAACCAAAAACTGGAGCAAAGGGCAAGGTTTGCTCAATCCCGAGTCTAGCCAGCGTGTTAAAACGGCACCAAAGCGTACCAGAACCGCACGGTGTCTGAGGGATCATCGGTCCATGATTGTCACTCAGATGAAAGAAGTGCGTCTCAGAGTTTTAAAAAACATATAGCAGTTACATCACTGGACTCCCACAGGCTGACACGGTTCGAGTTCCAGATCCGGTGGCTTGAAATTCTTGCCAGGTGCATGTGCGTGCATGCCCAAGATCCCAGGAGGAGAATGGAAGAGAAGGGATCGCGGTGTGCCATCTTCCTGGGAGGGCGGCTTCTCACTTTCCCTCTCACTGTCTCTGTCTCTCTCTCCCCAGTTGAGCTCACACACCCTACAGCAAAAACGACTAAAAAAAAAGAAATAAAGGAAAAACACCTTATATAAGATTGGCCCAGCTCATGGTTTGATGGGTAAGGCAGCTGGATTCCACACGACCAACTGTGTGGTTCAAATCCTGGATCTAGCGGCTTGAAGAAAAAAACAGAGCACATATACACGCATGCCCCAAATCCCAAATGGAGGAGAAACGAGAGAGGGATAATAGCTGACCATCCCCCCGTCCTTGTCTCTTTTGTCTCTGTCTGGTAAGTGCATGTGCCATCTGGCAAAAATTTACAGAAAACACCAGCACCTCATATGGAGTCATGTGATTCACTAGTGGGCAGAGATGAAGCAAATGTCTGTGTTCCACTTTATCGCTCTTTCAGCTGCTCCCAAAAGTTCTCTAGTTGGTAATACCCTAAAATTCACATTGGGACAAAATTAGAACAGCACGATATTCCCAAAGAGAATCTTATCTGATATTTTCTTTCATAAAGGATGTATAAATAGTAGGCTTATCAACCCTTAAACAGAATCTCTGCCATACTGCATGCCGTACTCGGAACTCGCAGGCTCTTCTTTCAGTCAGCAGCATAATTTGTAGTCCAGGATCTTGCTTTCTCAAACTGATGGCTATCTAGCACCCATCAAGGTCCGGCTGGGGCAGGCTGGCGGCACAGTGGTAATGCAACTGGACCCAAATGGGGAGGGCCCTGGGTTCATGTCCTGGGCCCTCCTCGA